AGCTCAGAGTTGCACCAACGTCATATCCGATTGTGGTGGGTGAGAATGCACCATTTGCAAGACTTAACGGATCACTACACTCAACTGAACAAGAAGTAGATCCTATTTTGTGAATCTTACACACAGAGGTGTCTGGACATGAGTGATTCTGACAGGCTCCGATGACACGTCCTGGCCACTGGTCAATGTCACTGACCACACTGTTCTCAACACCTACAATGTTGCTGGTCACACTACCGGAAGTAGACATCTCATTCAGCTGACATTCCGAACTGTCAAGGGCGACGTTGAAGGACTTGCATCGTCTTCTCAACAGACACTGTTTGGCACAGTCGATGATGCCAGTCCTCTGTAGAGTTAAAAATGTTGAGCCCAGGAGAGCTGTGTTCTTCCGTACAGCATTGATATTTCCAATATCGGAACAAAAGTTCAGAGCATTTGTTGTTGTATAACAAATCAACGAAATAATAAAACATTGCCAAATCCCCATTTCTATAACTCGACAAGGTGAGTTTTTACCCATACACATCAGACCCATTAGTAACCGTCTTGCTTTCACGAGTAGATAATATTCGGACGGCTTACGCATGTTCAATGTATATTTAGGCGTATTCTCTGATACAAAAGACGTTCGATAAGAATACGATAACTGATATCTCGAAGGCACTTTGATCGTTGCATGATGTTTGAGGGGGATAAGTACTGATTTGAAAACAATATTGTCACGAATATCCTTCAGATCAATATTCTCAAAGCAGTCGTTTGTGTTGTTGCGTCTTAATCGATCATATGTTTCAAGGCAGAGAGTTCAAACTTTTTCGTTTCGATTTGATATTACCATCTTCTTTTTGTCCAACAACGCATGGGGATTAACTCTTTGAGAGCGACGTTTGTTATCGTATCTCATGTTGGACAGAAATATACATGTAGATGGAAAATAAAATATTATACAAAGTATCAATTTTAATTGTTACAACGTTGTTATCTTCATTACAGATATGTTAGTTTTCATATTTCTGGTATATCAAAGCTGCAATCTCATTAAAATCAGACCGTAGTTCTCGCTACCGTTAAACAAAGATCTGAGGACATCCCATTAGGGGTCACGTCAGAACCACCTTTCATCCGACCAATCAGTGCGTCGCTTACCAGATTATGAAAGTGACAGTCGGAATGTGATTTCTAATCATGCAATCTCTAAAACTTTAACACGGGGTATTCCGAACGATAGCAACGTGTTTAACGACTGAATCCTTACAATCTAGACCATATATTAGCCAATCCAGAATGGTTTTTTGTTCAGGTTTCAAATTTGTAATCAAGAATTTGTCAAAATATGTTTCGAAGCGTAGTCGCCAAATTGAAATTTGTGCTGTAAGCTGCCTTCTGATTGGCCATTCCTTTTGTCGGTGAAAGTTCGCGCAAGGTCGGTCTGACGTGACCCGTAATGGGATGTCCTCAGATCTTTGTTTAGCGGTAGCGAGAACTAAGATCTGATTTTAATGAGATTTGTTTAGCGGTAGCGAGAACTAAGATCTGATTTTAATGAGATTGATCAAAGCTGTTACTTTCGGAAATAACTCACCATTAAGATGAATAAATACTAAACAGTGTCCGTGTGTTTCAAGTGTTCCCGCATAACTATATCATATATAAATGAAATGATTTTCTGGTTTTATAATTATTTTTGGGAAATTCTGATCCCTGAGAAATAGTTACAATGGCCACCGCCCCACAAGATATCGCGTGAGAATGGGTTGTTTTTTGTATCTTTGGTGTACTGTATGTGTAACTGGTGGGATTCGGTTCAGATGTATCGGGGGGCACGGGTGGCCAAGTCGTCTAAGGCGCCGCGATTCGCTGTGTAGAGTTGCGTCCCTTGGGCACGCCAGAAACTTATGATTGTGGGTTCGAATCCCGGTTCGCCCCGATTATGTTTCTAGGTTTGTCAGCACCATACCCGTGCTCATGGGTTTCACCGAAGTGATAAACGTCTGAGACCTGCATCACTTCGGGCTTTCCTCCCACATTAAGCTGACACGCCGCGATATAACTGGAATACTGTTGAAAGCGGCGTAAAACCCAACTCACTCACTCACTCACTCAGATGTATCGGCATGGGGTACAGACTGAACAGGGCCCCGTTCCACAAAGCGTTCTTAGCGCAATGATTGTCGTAAGTCAGTGATAAAGAATGGTAGTTACGATCGACTTAGCACTAAGATCGTTTTGTGGAACGGGGCCCTGGTCACTGCTTGTGACACGATCACCGAGAAGTAGTTACAGTAGCCGCCATTCCACAAGATATCGTTTGAGAATGGATTGTTTTTGTATCTTTGGTGTACTGTATATATAACTGGTGTGATTCGGAATAAGGATAAGAATTTATGGATAAACAACTTCTTTATTACAATTAAGAGCGACGTTTCGGTGTAGGTTCTAACACCGTTATCAAGGAGTACTAAGTAAGGATAAGAATTTATGGATAAACAACTTCTTTATTACAATTAAGAGCGACGTTTCGGTGTAGGTTCTAACACCGTTATCAAGGAGTACTAAGTAAGGATAAGAATTTATGGATAAACAACTTCTTTATTACAATTAAGAGCGACGTTTCGGTGTAGGTTCTAACACCGTTATGAAGCAAGTGCATACATTCTTATCCTTACGTAGTACTCCAACTTCTAAATGCCTATCAAAGAAGTTGGTGTGATTCGGTTCATAATGTATCGGCATGGGGTACAGACCGATGAGATTGCTGATTGTGACACGGAACCGTTCAATGATTCGATTCACTCTGTCATCACACGGTAGCTGGTCGATTGAGAAACAATAAGTTTCAAAGATCTCAGCTATTTTCAGTGAGGTAATACTATCTTATTTAAAACAAGCACTTTAAAAACGAGGAATCGATCAGCTATTACTTTCTGAGAGTATTTATATCGTCGCATGGTTTAGTACTTGCTTCAGACACCATCCACACTCAAACTTCAATATCGCTCTCTTTTTCATTCTTATTTTGTAGCCTTTTAACTCTTGTGTTTTTATCATGAAAACATCGAAGGCTCAAGCTCGTATCTTAACTCCTTTAAACTGGAATGCTCTAAACCTCATTTCATACAGAAAGAAGGCTCGAACTCTCACGCGTAATACATAATCTTTTTTTAAATGAAAAAAAATATGATCTAAATATTTTTTTTCCTGTGCACAATAGAAAGCTTTAAATTGAGTAAGTCATTAGATATGTACGTATATAGTACCGTCTACCATTAGATATATAGTTGACTTCATAAGATATACACAGTCGAAATAATCAGATAAAGGGTATATAAAGCAATGTACATCATAAGATAAAACCTAAATATAATATTTCATAACATAAAGCGTATATATACAGACTCCCTATATGAAGGCGCACTGAAGAGTACTTCATAAGTTAAGACACGTTCGTTATGTTTCGACCGCCTCCGTGGTCTAATGGTAGAGCGTCCGCCCGGAGAGCGGAAGATCCGGGGTTCGATCCCCAGCCGCGTCATACCAAAAGACGTTAAAAGATGGTACTTGCTGTTACCCTGTCTGGGGCTCGACATTAAGAGGCTAAAACAAGGACTGGTCGGCTCGGTGTCAGTATACTGTGTCTGAGTGGGGTATTCATGTTAAACTGCGGCATGGTATCTCAGTGAGCTAGCACTATAAATCGGCATCAGTCCGGACTAGTACAAGCAGCCACACACATACACGTGCATGCACGTCGCTATATAAGTGCAATAATCTTGGACGCGACGTTAAACCCCATTTCCACTCACCTCGTTATGTTTCACCATGCACATGTAACTATAACGACCGTTTTCAAATTGGCTGATAATAGAGTAACGGATTTGGTATACATGTATATCGTTGTCTTCAGTTTATATGTTTTGGATCAAATAAGCAGGCTTTGAAATTATTATTATTGATTATTGACTTCAAATTTTTCTTTTTGCTTTTGGGGCGATCGGGTAGCCTAGTGGTTAAAGCGTTCGCTCGTCACGCCGAAGACCCGGGTTCGATTCCCGACATGGGTACAATGTGTGAAGTCCATTTCTGGTGTCCCCCGCCGTGATATTACTGGAATATTTCTAAAAGCGGCGTAAAACCATACTCTCACTCTTTTTGCTTTTAGGGGGTTATAAAGTAAAAACCGGTGTGCATACTTTGCCACCGTTGGGACATGGGATTTTACTTTTGGACCGCAGACGTCAATTCTTTATCAGAGAAAGGGTATATCTAGTGCACGTCATTAGATAAAGGGTATATATAAGATAGCTACTAGATAAATCTATTATGACTTCATTTCGGAGTTTTCAACATGTGCTCGTTGTATATTGGAGGACATTGGATTTTAGAGTGGAGTGTCTTGTGAGTTGTTGATAGTAGTTACAAAGAATCTTGCAAATCCTATCAAAACAAAATCAATACAGTTAATCCTATCTACGACGCTTCTTACCGAATGTTCTTGTCCTTCTCGGCTTTGAATTCTAACCAAATTATTTATTTATAATAATGGATCCTGCAAAAGAAATAATCATACTTAACGTATTTTTTAAATACTATATTCACGAAAGAGCCTGCCAAAGAAAACTCAATTTCAATATAAAAAAGGTGTCTACGAATTCGCCGTAGATTGTGTCTAGAGTTGCTTCGAATTCACTGTTTCTCCCAAAAGGCCTTATAGCTGCTGCTCGGACTTGTGAAATATGAAATTGAGTGTTTAAATATTCATTCTCCTCTTTAATACAGCGATATACATCCAAAAGCATAAATACATGTTCGTTCTTCTTTGATAGTTGCATTTGGTCCAAGGTACCCACTGACAGGTAATTCAAATCACGCTCATATTTAATTACGAAATCCAACTTCGTTTCCTGATCCACAATTTAACTCATTGAAAACGGGCGTACTTGATTATACCAGAAATGAAATACGATTGTAGAATATTTTCATAATGCTTTATCAGCGCTTAAATACCATCGTCCTGAGTGAAAAGTATCAACTATATGAACATAAGTAGAAACTGCGCATGCAGTATCATACGTAAGATACTCTTACAACTTTACCAGTATAGTTGATATTTGGCAAAGAGTTAATCAAGAAAGCCCCTGTGCGCACTTCCGTTTAGAGGAAGCGAACGAACCGATGAAGCGAGAGAAATGGACCTCTTTGAAGATTTGCCTGAACCGGCAAGCAGGACTTTACAAGGTCTGTTTTTAGTACATTGTGTTGTCTGTTATCGTTAATAGCAGACTATAACCTATTGCCGACTGCTCGAGTGTCAGCATGTTACCCAGACGCAAGCTAGCGTATTGACCAGATGTCTACATCATTACCAATCGGCTCAAGTTACCCATGTATACACAGCATCACACTGACATACTGACGCTTTACGATTGTATGATAGCACATTTCGGGAATTTTTGATGCAATGCAAAAGCATTTCGCGTAAGTATTTAATTGGCAGAATGATAGCAAGTCAATGTTCATGCTAATAATTGTGCTGTGTTAACGTGGCCTAGATATGTTGATCAAAATGTCAGATTACGAATTGATAAGGAAACGGAAATAGATTTACTTCATCGTCCTATTAATTTTCGATGAACTAAACTCAGTATTGTTATTCTAGTATCAGAATAGAAGGTGATTGTGTGTAAAACGGTTGTTTGGGTCGTGGCCATCGTGATGCAGGGATGTGTTCGGGTGAACTGTTTTTAGAAGCTGGAAACTTTCCTCCGAAGGATTGTAAGAAGTAAGAAATGCATGGTGTGAGATTTGATAAAGTAGTCCATTAAATGTTAAAATTTCAATGAAATGTTTGTGTCCATTTGTAGAGGTGAATGTCGAGAGCAGTGGAGTTGATTTGTTCAGTAATGCAAGCAACGCTGGGGAAGGGTTGTTTGATGATCTGCCATCATCGAAGATTCCCATGGAGGAGAGGGCAAAGGGCGAGAAACGGAAGAGCACAGAAGAGGACAGTCAACAGAAGAATGTCCGCTTAAAATCATGTGGTAGGTTTATATATGTGTAGTCGGTTATCATCTTAAGATTTGACCGCCTCCATGGTCTAGTAGTAGAGTGTCTGTCCGGAGAGCGGAAAGTTCGTGTGTGATCGCCAGCCGCGTCATACCGAATGACGTTAAAGGATGGTACTTGTTGTTATCCTGTCTGGTGCTTGGCATTAAGGGGCTAAAACAAGGACTGGTTGTCAGTATTCTGTGTCTGAGTGGGGTATTTACGTTAAACTGGAGCATGGTATCTCAGTGGGCTAGCACTATAAATCGGCATCAGTCAGTACGAGTACAAGCAGCCGCACACACACACACACACACACACACACACGTGCATACACATTGCTATATATGAGCAATAATCTTGGACGCGATGTTAAACCCAATTTCACCTCACCTCATCTATTAAGGGGGCTATGGGTGGTCCAGTCGTCTAAGGGACAGCAATTCGCTGTGCAGAGTTGCATCTCTTGGTCTCGCCAGAAACCTATTATTATTATACACGTGCATGCACGTCGCTATATTAGTGCAATAATCTTGGACGCGACGTTAAACCCAATTTCACCTCACCTCATGTATTTTATTAATTTGTCAATTAACAATTTCAAGACATGTTGACCGAAATGTATAGACGTAAAAAAAAGTGAAACTGATGTATTTTGTTAACCGACTATAACAGTCCAGTTTCTACCCTTGCCGAACTAGGATCGAATTTCTTGGTTCGATCTTAGCGTCATAAGTGGCTATTATGAGTTATGTCCCTTCTGTGTCCCTCCTACTGACCAATCAGATTCCACCTCTCATATAACTTGCATTTCAAACAACATGCTAACGCCCAGTGAAGAGCACCTTTATCCAAAACATGAAAAGATTTGAAAATTACCCCATTTCACCTCACCTCATCTTAAGATTGTTTTGCCTGCCTTGGAACACTGGGTAGGGGTGTTGAAAATCAATGCTCAGCTCGTAAGGTCACATCACTGGACATAAACAATAAAATCAGTTTCAGTTGTCCATGGACAACTTTACCATTTTACAATTTATATAAATTATTCATAACAAGTACTAAATATTTTTACTCATCAAGGAATACATTTATGTAGGGAGGCCCTTTCCCAGGTTGATTGTTCACAATTGTTTATTGATGACCCAACTCTTTATTGGTTACATACTAGTTTGAACAAGGAAACAAAAATGCCGCCCGCCCGCCCGCCCACACTATATTTTAAAAAACCATTGCCTGAGAACCAATTCTTTTATTTTTTCAAACCTAAAATAGCAATTATTTGATTAAACACACCATTTTTGATGAATGATCTAGATATTTAGACATAATAAATTTTGACTGTTTACTTCAAAATTTTGATATTTCCACACCCCTGTGTCACATGTCTTCCGTGAAGATCTGGGGTAGAATAGGTCTTCAGCAACCCATGCTAGCCGTAAAAGGCGACTATGCTTGTTGTAAAAAGCGACTAACGGGATCAGGTGGTCAGGCTCGCTGACTTGGTTGATGCACGGTCATTGTTCCCAATTGTGTGGATCGATGCTCATGATATCAATCACTGGATTGTCTGGTCCAGACTCGATTATTTACAGACCGCCGTCATATACCTGGAATATTGCTGAGTGCGGCGTTAAACAACAAACCAACAACAACATGTCTTCCGCATGTTGATAATATGGAACTGGACCTGTTCACAGCCAAGTACAGCCTGAAGAGTTTTGTGGCTGACAGGAAAGGGGAGAGGGAGGAGATGCAGGACGCTCACTTCATGCTGCACAACTACCACCAGGAGATCCCCGATCTCCACCCTTCCATGTGAGTAGATCCCGACCTCCCTCCTTCCATGTGAGTAGATCCTGACCTCCACCCTTCCATGTGAGTAGATCCCGACCTCCACCCTTCCATGTGAGTAGATCCAGACCTCCACCCTTCCATGTGAGTAGATCCCGACCTCCATCCTTCCATGTGAGTAGATCCTGACCTCCACCCTTCCATGTGAGTAGAGCCCGACCTCCACCCTTCCATGTGAGTAGATCCTGACCTCCACCCTTCCATGTGAGTAGATCCTGACCTCCACCCTTCCATGTGAGTAGATCCCGACCTCCCTCCTTCCATGTGAGTAGATCCCGACCCCCACCCTTCCTTGTGAGTAGATCCCGACCTCCCTCCTTCCATGTGGGTAGATCCCGACCTCCCTCCTTCCATGTGAGTAGAGCCCGACCTCCCTCCATCCATGTGAGTAGATCCGGACCTCCACCCTTCCTTGTGAGTAGATCCTGACCTCCCTCCTTCCATGTGAGTAGATCCCGATCTCCACCCTTCCTTGTGAGTAGATCCTGACCTCCATCCTTCCATGTGAGTAGATCCCGACCTCCCTCCTTCCATGTGAGTAGATCCCGACCTCCACCCTTCCATGTGGGTAGATCCCGACCTCCCTCCATCCATGTGAGTAAGAGATCCCCAAAGTCATCCCTTCATTTTATGAGATCGCAATATGCACCTTCATCTAATGAGACCATTCTCCACCAATCAACAACAAAGATCCCCACCTTAATCATTCAACTGATCAGAGCCCTGGCTTCCATCCACCCACCCACCCTTTATTCATAGGAGAATCTAACTGTCCTGAGACACAGAGTTTGCAAGTATGCTGTGTGTGGAGGGTGTGCTGTATTTTGAGGATGTTCTAGTTCTTTGTTCCTGTTGCAGCTATCGCTTGTCTCTCTTCGGCGTCTTCGATGGACACGGGGGCGGCAGAGCATCCAGGTTGGCATGCCAGGTTTTCCCACGAAATCTGCGGGATAGGTTTCCCAAGGGTAATCCCCAAAGCTAAACCTGAAAATATGTGTACCTAACATTAGCCGATTACCTGTTTTGTTTACCTTAATTCATGGAGATTGTTCGATACATTTCTGAATTCAAAGGATAAGTATACTGAAGTGTCGGCAGGGCTCGATTTTAGGAACTTGATTTAACTTGCACCAGGACATGAAAACCTAGTTTCACCAGACAAAACCAGGTTGCACCTTGGTCAAGTTGAAACATAGATGCATAAACTTGTAATAAATAAAGACTCAGATCTCTCATGACTGTGTCATGATTTTACACCAATTAGTGTAAATTGTAATAGGAACATGTGCACATAATCTTGAAGTACCCACAGTTTGATGACACCAAGCCCCACAAAGTATGACAACTTACACGTAACACAGGGATTAGTGATGTAGTATGGTACATAAGGCTTTGAGGTATTGAATGTGTTGAAAAATTGTTGATGTGGTGAATGTAGACAAAAATATAAGGTTGCACTTTTCAATAATGTGTTGCACTGGTGCATGTTTTCTTTAGCAAAATCGAGTCCTGTCAATAATCATTCAATCGTTATATTATGGATAACGTAGATGTTTCAAGATGTGACTTCTCCATGGAATATCAGTCTCAGTTTAAAATCTTTGTCAGATGATAATTTCTGAATTACTTTTTCTTTCAGGAGATGTGTCCCAGGTGGAGAGAGACATAAAGAAGTGTTTTATCGAGGCATTTAAGAAAACTGATGAAGATTTCCTCAAACAAGCCACAAAAAAGTAAATTTCAAATTATTCTGTTTAGTCATGTGCTGCCTCTGATCTGAAAGGGTCTTAAGTGGCCGTGGCATCTAAGGCGCCACAATGCACTGTGTAGAGTTGTGTCCCTTAGACGTACCAGGAAACTGTGATCACGGGTTTGAATCCCACATTCATGCTTATTATGTTATGGGGTTGTCAGCGCCAGATTTATCATGGGTAAATGTCTGAGACCTGCATCTCTTTGGGTTTTCCTCCCATGTCAGGCTGACTCGCCTTGATATAACTGGAATTAGAGGTGTCGCGATAAATCGTGGACACTGTGAGTGGGACCAGGGTATTGATCACAACGATATGGATCATAACGATATTGATCATAACGATATGGATCATAACGATATTGATATTGATCATAACGATATGGATCATAACGATATTGATATGGATCATAACGATATTGATCATAACGATATGGATCATAACGATATGGGTCATAACGATATGGATCATAACAATATTGATCATAAAGATATTGATCATAACGATATGGATCATAACGATATGGATCATCAAGGATGGAGTTAACAGGGTTGGCTGGAAGTGAAAATGACTCTTCTAAAATGGTTTATTTTATTCCGCACGTACAAAACATATTATCTCACCTTACATTAAAATACTAGCTTCAGATTGGTTAAGGAGCAGGCAATTATTTTCTATGTAGCCCACTCTTGTACCCCGCTGAGAAATCAATTTGAAACCTTAGGAAAAGGAAGAAAGGAAAAAGGAATATCAAGGTCTGCTCGGCCGGTACATGTTAAGTTCAGGAAGCCGTCGGTGTTCATTTCAGAAACTAGAAAAATGGACCCAGTGACCCCTACATTTCTAAGAATTGGGGACATTCGATGAAACCATGATACACACAAATATTTTTGAAATAAAGACGTAAAACTTAGAGAAAGTTGTCTTTATTTACTGTCCATCAGAAATTCAACTTGTCAGTGTCACTGTATGTAGTCAAATATTGTCACACAATTTTACGTGTTACATTTCATTTATTCACTTTTCAAAGGCGGTTCATTCTTCCAGTGAGTTATAGTCTGGAATGTAATATAAGGTACTGACGTTTACTACAATATCTGAACAACTATCGGACCTTCTCCAGTCACAGTTGGTATGAGATTATTAAACAGTCATACATAACTGGATATTACCTTTAAAGACAACTCAACTCGAAAGGGTGCACTGGAATCACGCACGTTGAGACACCCCGCGGTAACACCGTATTCGTGCATGCGTGATTCCTGTGCACCCTTTCGAGTTGAGTTGATTGGTTCAACTGTGTCATATGGCCCTGTGATGCCGGGGTAGCATTATGCAGATGGCTGTTTCAATGAATGCTCGTTCCACCCGTGACGAACAGGTCTGGTTGTTGATGAAATACAGTGATAGCTAAATAGACAGATTTTGTATTCATGCACCGATTGTCTTTAAATGTAATATCCAGTTATGTTTGACTGTTTAATAATCTCTTACCAACTGTGACTGGAGTAGGTCCAATAGTTTTTCAGATATTGTAGTAAACATCAGTACCTTAATTTACGTTCCAGACTATACAGATCTATGCGTTCTTCAGTTCTTTAACAGTGATGTAAGGGAGATAACTCTCAGTTCGGAATTGATTATTCCAGCCAATCAAGACATGCGTTACATTGCAATGGTCAATAACTTCAGAACTTTTCGCTAATCCTAACGTTACTGATGCTACCTGAAGACTTTCAAGGTTACGATAAATGGTTAATGTATTCCAGTCGCTAAAACATGTTTACTTCCATTTTGGACAAAGATTGATGAAGCGTAGTCATTTGTCGGGGTACGATCGACGACATATTTTTGTGTTAGTTTGGGATTTGATGTTGCATCCTTTTGGCGCCGTGATATTTATTTTATTGGCCATTAGGAATTTTGCGTGTAAACGTCCTCATGGCTGCCTTGTGACATAAAAATTGATCGGTGCAAAGTTTTGGGTGTGAAATGCACGAGTTAATGTTTTGAACTTGTATGTATTTCAGTAAACCCACATGGAAGGACGGCACCACAGCTATTCTTGTACTTGTCATCAATGAAACACTGTTTATCGCAAACCTAGGAGACAGCAAGGTAGGACTACTTTCTTAGGCCACACTCTTTTTATGTCTAACAAATTGTTTGCTACTATTAGCATGATTAGTTTGGTTAGGTCGGGATAAAAATATGCAGAGTTGCGTCCCTTGGGATAGCCCGAAACCTATGATCAGGGTTCGAATCCCAGTTTGCCCAAATTATGTTTCAAGGTTTGTCAGCACCCTACCCATGCTCGTGGGTGTCACCAAAGTGGTAAATGTCTGAGACCTGCATCACTTTCTTCCTACATTAAGCTGACACACTGTGATATAACTGGAATACTGTTCAAAGCGGCGTTAAACCTGACTGACCCTCTCACTTATGATTATGTCAGATGTAAATTCAGGAGTTTTTAATGTTGAAGCAAGGTCTGTATCAGAACCAAGGGAAATGTTAATGATAAGCAGTAATGAAGACATGACCTTTGTTATGGATCACTACTTCTTTAGTCCTTGTAACAATGTTTCAGGACTACCATTTTTTGAGTATAGTGCACACTTTTTTTCCAAAAAACACAGCGGTGTATTAGGGGGTGCGCATTATACACGCCATAATGATTTTTTTTTTTGCGCATAATATTCAAATTTTTTCCCCCCAAAGTACTGAATCCGCTCGAGGTGGGTGTGCATTATACGTGGGTGCACACTATACTCAAGAAAATACGGTACTTCTTGTAGTATATTTGTAGTGTTCAGTCAAGAAGTAGCCCTGAAACGTCGTTACAAACAGTAATGAAATTGTTATCAATAAAAACCTGTCATGTCTTCCAATTTCTAAATGCCAGCGGGGCGCTCGGGTAGCCTAGAGGATAAAGCGTTCGCTCGTCACGCCAAAGACCCGGGTTCGAAACCCGACATGGGTACAATGTGTGAAGCCCATTTCTGGTGTCCCCCGCTGTGATATTGCTGGAATATTGCTAAAAGCGGCGTAAAACCATACTCACTCACTCTAAATGCCAGCCAAAAACTTCATTGGTTGTTATATGTTTATTTATTTACTTTTAGATACAATATGGATAGCGTAGCTTTGCATTTAGGTTAACTATTGATATTTAACTGCCATCAATGTGTTGTAAAAAGGCCAGGGATAATCTGATCGGCCATTACACTCATGTTGGACAAGGTCCAAAACATTTAGAATTACATGAGGGGGCGGTCGGGTAGCCTAGTGGTTAAAGCGTTCGCTCGTCACGCCGAAGACCCGGGTTCGATTCCCGACATGGGTACAATGTGTGAAGCCCATTTCTGGTGTCTCCAGCCGTGATATTGCTGGAATATTGCTAAAAGCGGCGTAAAACCATACTCACTCACTCACTCATAATTACATGATGACGTTGTAGATATAGTGTTTTGTTATTTGTTCCTTCAGTCCATCTTGTGTCGCTACAAGGAAGATCAGGCGAAGTGTGTTGCCGTGCCGCTATCTACGGACCACAGTCCCGGGGTGTATGAGGAGAGGATGAGGATACAGAAGTCTGGGGGACATGTTAGGTCAGTTGAAAAGGTCCCCCATCCTCCATTGTCACCTGTATACAGTAAACTAAGTTTATAACAAACATGCTATAACAAACTGACCGATATAACAAACTTATTTTTTAGTCCCGGACATTTGTTGTATATGTGCTGTATACAGTCAAGTCTCGTTAATCCGACACTCTTTAATCTGACAATCGGCTTTATCCGACACTAATGGTGGGAACCAAATAAATCATTGCTATTTAGACTCCGACTATCTCACACTCCGACTCCGACACACCTAATTTGCAACAAATTACCGAAATTACTCATTCTTCAGTCTCGTAAATCCAACACAGCGATCAGCATACTCCGTGGTCATCTGCATGCGAGTACACAGCCCGTGTTTTTATGCAAGACGAGTCGGCTGATAGCTGCATATTACAAAGGCTGCAAAGATAATCTTGCTTAACAATAAACAAGTTATGTTTTAAATAAGGACAACAGGATTAATCACAAATACAAGTTCTTGCTTGATCCCATTTCAAGGTCACAGCAGGCAAATCTGCTTTTGGAGTTGGAAAACGGTGTTGCCGCAATATCTCAAGAACTAAACACTGGATTGTCTTCATATTTGGTACTATGGTGTATATACAGGCGGGGGACATTTCGTCACTTTGTGACAAATACTTGTTATAGGTAACAATCAGGGCTACTGCATGTCCTGTCATCAGGCAGGATCAGGTGATGAACTCTCATGGGTAACAACTTCCTAATTATAGGTAACAATCAGGGCTACTGCATGTCCTGTCATCAGGCAGGATCAGGTGATGAACTCTCATGGGTAACAACTTCCAAATTATAAATAACAATCAGGGCTACTGCATGTCCTGTCATTGAAAACACACTATGTTAATCTCCTGTTTTATCATGTTTTACTTCACTCATTCACTCCAACATGTCCAAGGAATTATATATTATCCCTTATATTGAATCTGAGTGTCATGTCTTCCTTGTCCACCCCTTTGTTTCTAATATTGGATTTGTGGATGGGGTGGTCAGGCTCGGTGACCTAGGATGGGCTGTTCAGGCTCGGTGTCTGTGGATGGGGTGGTCAGGCTCGGTGACCTAGGATGGGCTGGTCAGGCTCGGTGTCTGTGGATGGGGTGGTCAGGCTCGGTGTCTGTGGATGGGGTGGTCCGGCGAGGTGTCTGTGAATCAGGTGGTCAGGCGAGGTGTCTGTGAATCAGGTGGTCCGGCGAGGTGTCTGTAAATCAGGTGGTCCGACGAGGTGTCTGTGAATCAGGTGGTCAGGCGAGGTGTCTGTGAATCAGGGGGTCAGCCTCGGTGACTTGGTTGCTTGCATGTTGTCAATCATTATAACCAGACACTTTGGATTGACAATAACTGGATTGTTTACAGGCTGTCATGTCTTCCTTGTCCACCCCTTTGTTTCTAATATTGGATTTGTGGATGGGGTGGTCAGGCTCGGTGACCTAGGATGGGCTGTTCAGGCTCGGTGTCTGTGGATGGGGTGGTCAGGCTCGGTGACCTAGGATGGGCTGGTCAGGCTCGGTGTCTGTGGATGGGGTGGTCAGGCTCGGTGACTGGATGGGGTGGTCAGGCTCGGTGACCTAGAATGGGCTGGTCAGGCTCGGTGACTGTGGATGGGCTGGTCAGGCTCGGTGTCTGTGGATGGGGTGGTCAGGCTCGGTGACCTAGGATGGGCTGGTCAGGCTCACTGTCTGTGGATGGGGTGGTCAGGCTCGGTGACCAAGGATGGGCTGGTCAGGCTCGGTGTCTGTGGATGGGGTGGTCAGGCTCGGTGTCTGTGGATGGGGTGGTCAGGCTCGGTGACCTAGGATGGGCTGGTCAGGCTCGGTGTCTGTGGATGGGGTGGTCAGGCTGGGTGACCAAGGATGGGCTGGTCAGGCTCGGGGACTGGATGGGGTGGTCAGGCTCGGTGACCTAGGATGGGCTGGTCAGGCTCGGTGACTGTGGATGGGCTGGTCAGGCTTGGTGTCTGTGGATGGGGTGGTCAGGCTCGGTGACCAAGGATGGGCTGGTCAGGCTCAGTGTTTGTGGATGGGGTGGTCAGGCTCGGTGTCTGTGGATGGGGTGGTCAGGCTCGGTGACCAAGAATGGGCTGGTCAGGCTCGGTGACTGGATGAGGTGGTCAGGCTCGGTGACCTAGGATGGGCTGGTCAGGCTCGGTGTCTGTGGATGGGGTGGTCAGGCTCGGTGACCTAGGATGGGCTGGTCAGGCTCGGTGTCTGTGGATGGGCTGGTCAGGCTCAGTGTGTGGATCAGGTGGTCAGGCTCACTGTCTGTGGATGGGGTGGTCAGGCTTGGTGTCAGTGGATCAGGTGGTCAGGCTCACTGTCTGTGGATCAGGTGGTCAGGCTCACTGTCTGTGAATCAGGTGGTCAGGCGAGGTGTCTGTGAATCAGGTGGTCAGGCGAGGTGTCTATGAATCAGGTGGTCAGGCGGGGTGTCTGTGAATCAGGTGGTCAGGCGAGGTGTCTGTGAATCAGGTGGTCAGGCGAGGTGTCTATGAATCAGGTGGTCAGTCTTGGCATCTGTGAATGGTGGGGTCAGGCAAGGTGTCTGTGAATCAGGTGGTCAGGCGAGGTGTCTGTGAATCAGGTGGTCAGGCGAGGTGTCTGTAAATCAGGTGGTCAGGCGAGGTGTCTTTGAATCAGGTGGTCAGGCGAGTTGTCTGTAAATCAGGTGGTCAGGCGAGGTGTCTGTGAATCAGGTGGTCAGGCTAGGTGTCTGTGAATCATGTGGTCAGGCTAGGTGTCTGTGAATCAGGTGGTCCGGCGAGGTGTCTGTAAATCAGGTGGTCAGGCGAGGTGTCTGTGAATCAGGTGGTCAGGCTAGGTGTCTGTGAATCAGGTGGTCAGGCTAGGTGTCTGTGAATCAGGTGGTCAGGCGAGGTGTCTGTTAATCAGGTGGTCAGGCGAGGTGTCTGTGAATCAGGTGGTCCGGCGAGGTGTCTGTGAATCAGGTGGTCAGGCGAGGTGTCTGTGAATCAGGTGGTCAAGCTAGGTGTCTTTGAATCAGGTGGTCAGGCGAGGTGTCTGTAAATCAGGTGGTCAGGCGAGGTGTCTGTGAATCAGGTGGTCCGGGGAGGTGTCTGTGAATCAGGTGATCAGGCGAGGTGTCTGTGAATCAGGTGTTCAGGCGAGGTGTCTGTGAATCAGGTGGTCCGGCGAGGTGTCTGCAAATCAGGTGATCAGGCGAGGTGTCTGTGAATCAGGTGGTCAGGCGAGGTGTCTGTGAATCAGGTGGTCCGGCGGGGTGTCTGTGAATCAGGTGGTCAGGCGAGGTGTCTGTGAATCAGGTGGTCCGGCGAGGTGTCTGTGAATCAGGTGGTCAGGCGAGGTGTCTGTGAATCAGGTGGTCCGGCGAGGTGTCTGTAAATCAGGTGGTCCGACGAGGTGTCTGTGAATCAGGTGGTCAGGCGAGGTGTCTGTGAATCAGGGGGTCAGCCTCGGTGACTTGGTTGCTTGCATGTTGTCAATCATTATAACCAGACACTTTGGATTGACAATAACTGGATTGTTTACAGGCTGCCATCATACAGCTGGAATATTTCTGAGTGTGGCGTTAAACAACAAACAAAATGAAGAAATAAATAAAGCAATGCATGTGTCTGTTGTTGCAGAGAAGGACGAGTGATGGGTCAGCTGGAGGTTTCTCGGTCTATCGGGGACGGGCCCTACAAGAACCACGGTGTCATCTGCCTCCCTGATGTCAAGCGGTGCCAACTCACCGATCATGATCGGTCAGCTTTGTCTCATTGCTTAAGTGTATACTCTACATAGAGTTCAAAAGACTTCTTGAATGAAATGTCATAATATCAATCAGTGGATTGTCTGGTCCAGACTTGATTATTTACAGACTGCCCGTGATGATCCAGTGTAGAACTGGTCTTCAGCAACAAATGCTTTGCGTAAAAGGCGACTATGCTTGTCATAAGAGGCGACAAATAGGATTGGTTGGTTATCCCAATTGCGATGCTGATGATATCAATCACTGGATTGTCTGTTCCAGACTCGAATATTGCTTAGTGCAACAACAAACAACAGCAAACAAATCAGAGGCTTGATCCAGACTGGCCGACATGATATTGTTGGAATATTGTTGAGTGCGGCATAAAAACAACATTCACCCACTCACAAGGATGAAGATCCGGGTAGAATAGGTCTTCAGCAACCCATGCTTGCCATAAAAGCGACTATGCTTGTTGTAAGAGGCGACTAATTGGATCGATCGGGTAGTCTGGCTCGCTGACTTAGTTGATGCTCATGATATCAATCACTGGATCGTCTGGTCCTGACTCAATTATTTACAGACCGCCGTCATATAGCTGGAATATTGCTGAGTGAGGCATTAAACAACAAACAAACAAACAAACAAACAAACACTCACAAGGAGGTAATTTGGATCCAATAATGCGAGGGAGTGTATATTTATCCCAGCAGTACCTTGGTGAGAATTACCCTATTTATGGTGCTATTCGGGCGGTCGTGTAGCCTAATGGTTAAAGCGTTCGCTCGTCATGCCAAAACCCCGGGTTCGATTCCCGACATGGGTACAATGTGTGAAGCCCATTTCTGGTGTCCACCGCCGTGATATTGCTGGAATATTGCTAAAAGCGGCGTAAAACCATACTCACTCACTCACTCACTATGGTGCTGTTCCAGTAATGTCATGGCTTGTTGCACCAGAAATGGACTCTCCACATTATACTCAAGTGGGAATCAAACTCTCTGGCCTTCAGTGCGATGGACCAACAATATAGGCTACCCCACGCACCCCCAGTACCACGATGCCGGACACCCAGAAATGGGCTTCACACATTATACCTATGTCCTACACATTGGTGACATGGTTACAGGTTCCTGCTGCTGGCCTGTGATGGTCTGTGGAAGAGCTTCAGTTTGCAGGAGAGTGTAGATCTGGTCAACAACATTGTTAACTCACAGGTGAGTGTATCACTATTAGTTGTAGCAGGATCACGAAGGGTACATGGAGCCGGAGGCGATTGGTATGATACCTAACACGGGACATATAAAAACCCTTGTACCCTTTGGGATCTTGCTACAAGGAATGTATCTTACTGACAGTGTAAATGAATTAAAACAAGTTCAAAATTGATAGAAAACAGCTGTTAGATTGACCTGAAGTTAACTTGCGCTATGTCACTTCCATTGATTCGGGACCCGTGAAGATTCCGGGGTAGAATAGGTCTTCAGCAACCCATGCTTGCCGTAAATGGTGACTATGCTTGTCGTAAAAGGCGACTAACGGGATCGGGTGATCAGGCTTGCTGACTTGGTTGATGCATGTCATTGATCCCAATTGCGTGGATCGATGCTCATGATATTAATCACTGGATTGTCTGGTCCAGACTCGATTATTTACAGACCACCGTCATATAGCTGGAATATTGCTGAGTGCGGCATTAAACAACAAACCAACCAACCAATCCATTGATTCGGGGAAAAAAAGTGCAGGTTTTTGTTCGAAGCCAGGTATAAGGGATTTATTCAGCCTCTCACAAACCCATGTGCAGCCTGACTTGCTTGTGGCAGGTTATAAGGGATTTATTATCCCGCTGAGAAGTTTATTCCCTCCAAGGCGGGATACATAGTATTTTATCAAGATCACATGGACCAATCAGATGGCATCATTCTGACATGGAGGTATGATAGTTGATATTACACACTTATCAGTGCTAAACTTGGCCTGTGATTTGATGATGCTACACTACTTTGATTAACTTTCCTATGTTTCTGGGAAAGAATAATACTTGTCCTTAATTAGAATCAGTGAACACACAATGCCATTTAGAAATTGGTCAAATGTTATAATTGGGATAACACTTTGTTAGTAAAGTACAGATTCTAGTACTTTTGGGGGTTGAGTCTCATCTGGGATTCAAACCCATACTGCCAGAGTGAGGTAACTTATTGCCAGCACACCAAGTCAGCGATCTAACCCACTCAGCCACCGAGACTTCCACATAAATGAAAGTCTGACAACTGGTAGTCAAGATCACATACTTTGTGTACCCCTCTGACAAGTGCAAATTGGCATGGCTCCCTTGGAGCCTCGGTGGCTGAGTGGGTTAGATCACTGACTTTGTGTGCTGGCGATTAGGTGCCTCACTCTGGCAGTGTGGGTTCGAATCCTGGATGGGACTCAACCCAAAAAAGTAATAGAACCTGTTCTTTACAAAGAAGGTGTTATCCCAAATATAACATGTGATATAATTTGAATCAGGTAGCAGGCTCTGACACTTGGTTAATTGCATGTCATTTTACTCTGTTGGTGTTCATAATATCAACCACTGGTTTGTCTGTCAGAGACTTGATTATTTACATGCCATTGGGATAAAGCTGGAATATTAGTACCATCTAAATCAAGAAACAAAAAAAAATATCCAAAACCTCACCTTCACCAAGCTGATCATAATTCACCTATGTCACCAGTCATCATGTCAAGATTTTATTTTATTTTTCAGCCCAAAGGAGAAGACAAGAAGACCTCGGCAGACACCTTGTACGAAGCAGCGTGTAACAAGCTTGCCAATGATGCCGTTTTAAGATTCAGTGGTGATAATGTCACCGTTGCCATTGTTAGCATCACACGATCACAACATGCCGGTTCCTGATGTCTTTCAAAGAGTATAAAAACAAAGTTATTGATTAATATATGGCAAGGTGAATCTGCTATCCTTGCATGTTACCATGGTAACTGGCCATAACTTACCCCTAACTGTAAAGGTGCTATGTGTTCCTGTCTGCCTGGCTGTACTGGTTGCACATTAACAAAACATTGAGAAGAGAAGGCAACAGCATTTCCTTCTTATGCTCTGGCAGTGTGGTTGACATTTATCACACTTGGCAATGACAAGACGTGTTTCTCATCATGTGGGTTGTTTAAAACATGCTTTTTGAACAATTTGTTCATTTAATCCCTTGTGTAATTGGATATGTGCTCTTGTTGCCAGATGATGATCTGTAGCATATGTCTAAATAACAGCTCAGTTAATTTTACAGCGTTCGAAACTAACAGTTTTAATCCACTAGTCCTTGTCATGAAAACATGTAGCAAAATCCTTTAAAAGGGCAGATGTATACTCGTCCTTATGATGCCTTAACTATTGGGCAGTTTGGCAAGGACTGTAGGACAAGTGCCAGTTTCTAACACTGTTACTTAGGTACTACCATTTGTTACAGGGGTGGGGTGGATGGGGCTTTTTTCATGGGGGTTGGGTGTCATGACAAAACTACAGCAAGAGAGGAATGAATGATGAATGATGTTTATTCTCGTAAATCACGGCAGTGATACAGAGATGTAATTGGATACAGGAATTAGATACAATAGGAGAAAACATGAGGAGGGGTTGCCAATATTTATCACAACTATGTACGGGTGGGATGTGAGGGTGGTTGTGGGTGGTTTTTTTTGTAATAGTTTTTTGTCATGAAGAAATGACATCCAATATTTATATGGGGGTGGGTATGAAAAATGACAGATTTGGGTGGCCATGAATAATGACATAGTTCTGTTGAAAATTTCATTGTGAGGAATCAAAAGGGAGAGGAATAGGGAAATTAATATGGTCTCCTCTGTGATTTATTAACCGGGGGATGGGGGGTTATTTATTAGGGGTATGACACAGCAAAAGGGGGAGGGTCACCAAAATTTAACACAACCATAACTAAAAATATGATACAGTCCTAAGATCAATCTCACTGGCCCCACCATAACCGCCACCCCCACCCCCACCCCAATAGGTGGCAATTTCAGGGTTGCCTCATATATCCATTCATTTATGAGGCAATATTGTCTCTCCTGACATGATGCGATTTAACTGAAACATTGTTCAAAGCAGTGTTAAAACATCTCACTCATTATTTCTGTTGGTGCATATCAAGGGCAGGTAACTCTAACCACATATGTTGACCTATCCCTGCTCACCTCTGACTCATCGAAAATGGCTGACTTCTTGAAGGAAATAATGTCTAGATGTCATGTCTGTGTCCATGGAATATTGTTGTTACTGAGGGTTTCAAACCACGCTGGAAGGAATCCATATTAAACATATGGAACTTGTTTCAAACACCTGACACAAGATAAGCTGGCGACCATTAGGCCAGTTTTTGTGTTTATTTTTTGTATTTTTTAAACACATATTTGGCTGAAAAACTCAGGTCAGTAGGTCAAGAAAAGTAACTAAGATTTCAGTTACAAATTCATTATAATTTGTGTGTGTCTTGAAGTTCTTAAGATATAAATTCAACACTTTTTGATCATGGTATTTTAAATGATTTATGTATTTTGAAAGCGACAGTAAACAAGTATTTTTGTAACATTTTATGTATTTCTCGGGGTCGGAACATTCATAAGCCAAGTTAAAAAAACCATCCCACCTTACCATTTGCCTTTGTCTTCAAATCCAGGGGGCACGGGTGGCCCAGTCGTCTAAGTCACCACGATTTGCTGTGCAGAGTTGCGTCCCTTTGGCAAGACAGGAACTTATGATTGTGGGTTCGAATCCCGGTTCGCCCCAATTATGTTTCTAGGTTTGTCAGCACCATACCCGAGCTCGTGGGTTTCACCGAAGTGGTACGGGCTTTCCTCCCACATTAAGCTGACATGCCGCGATATAACTGGAATACTGTTAAAAGCGGCGTTAAACCCAACTCACTCACTCACTCATTGTGTATCCTGATTACTGTTCCACACAGATCCGGAATAATATGTTTTCAGACATGGCCATCATCTTGTACAAATTATACTACTCAACAGTTGGTAAGGGCCAATATAGTCCTCTTCAGGGAGAGGTGTGGACCTTAGTACATGTTGTGTAGTATATTACCAGACATCACTGGTTGTGTGTGTGTTGCTCAGTGGTGGTGAGGTGAGGTGTATTTTTCCAGATTAATGTCATTTGAAGTCACTGTTTCTTGCAGCTTGTCTGGAGTATTGAAATTTGATTCACAAGACGTTGAGTGTTCTTGCCGTGGATACACAAAATAGTAAATGACGAAAGACTTTTCTGCTGTATTTTCTTACAAGCTCTGAATCATGAATAGAATCTTATTTATCACACAGAATCTTTTGGCTGAATTGTTGTTAGTGTCGCCATGCAGTCACAGTGTAGGGATGGCGACTCATGATGAACTAATATGGATAATTCAAGACTGTTGGCATTTTAAAGGTGCAAGATTTGGATTTCAAGATTATTTTTACATTATTTTAGAGTTATATGGAAAAGAAAATTCCTGTTATATAAAAATTGTTACACTTATCCAATCACACACATGCATTTCTTCTTTCGATCCTATATGTCATGGTTGAACAAAGTTTCCAGCTTCTAAAAAAACAAATAACCCGAACACATCCCAGCATTACCATGGCCACTACCCAAACAAATGGTGTGAGATTGGATAAGTTTATGAATATACAATTTATTGTGAAAGTTCTAATTTTGTAATGTCTACTGTGCATTGTAATCTGCTGTTAAACAAATGGGTGTCCCAACATACTTATTGGCTAAAAATAGATTAATAAAATTTACTTGCCTAATATTAAGCAAATTAGATTGCCATCTCAATGGGTTCTTACATAGATTACACTGTTTGGCCTTGAAATACACATATACATTGTTGAGGTAATGAAAACCTAGAAACATTTGAGTGTGAGATCATCTGGACAAAAAACAAATGTTTGACCTTGTAATAAAATACATAACCCAGGGCCCACATGCACAAATTGACTGTAGCATTATGACTATTGTAAATCTGTAAAACAATAGGAGTTTGAAGAGATTTATAGCTTTGTCTCTTCACTCTGAACAGATATTGAAAAGTTTTCCTTATAACTTTCATGTTGCATAATAAGTAATTGAGTATATATGAACTACATGGGGTGCAGGTTCTCTTTAGAGCAGGTCCCCGTATAGTCTGTCTTACAGACCCTGACACAAATATATATCAAATACAGCCCATGCAAGTCTATAATGTTTGGCAAGTCTAGATCACTGCAGTATCTGAAAATGAAGAGAGTCACTGGGCTCCTTTTTATTGTATTTTTATTAAGATAACTGAACAACTGTTTTTTTATGTACGATATGTTCATTTCAGAGACTAGATGTTAGTCTAGTCCCCGTATCAACTCCAGTTTTAAGATTAGATCCAGCCCTTTGGAAAACTGCTGTCATTAGAGACTTGACCATGGTCCCCTTTGTATTTATTTAAGCATTACACAATGTTTAAACTGCTTTGAAATTTTAGACAACAAGAAAAATAAATAACATTGACTTTTTTGCCATGCAATGTGCTTAGAAGGGCAGGTTTTGTTTTGGGTATTTTGGGGAGAAAATTAAAAGCTGAAACTGACTCTGCCCTAATTTGAGGCCCAAATTATACATTTCCAAACCTTACATCTTAAAAAAGTTGATGAAAATTGCAGTATTGCAAATATCAGCATCAGCTTGTGAAAGCAAAGAGCATAAGACATGATGTCACAGACTACCGTATTTCCTCTGTTAGATGCCTGAGCACCAATACATAACCTCGAATTGAGGCAAGGTCATATGATCTGTCAAAAAATTGAACCAGGGTCCATCATTTTCATCGATGAATTTAATGATCCCCCCCATCACATTAACATATGGCATGTAATGATTACTCCCTTTTTCTTCCGGTATCTGGGCGTCTAATAGAGGAAATACAGTGCGTGGTTGCCATAGTTACTAAAATATTGTTAACTGCAATACAGCAATAAACCATAATTTGATGAATTGTTTTTGAATGTTGCTGCATATCAATGGCGCAGTTTAATTTCTGTTGGGAGACATAGACTGGTTATGATTTGTGTGAATGTTTGTCATGCACACAATACATTGTTCCTCCACTTTCAACCCCTCATTCATTTAATTAAGGGACCGCCTCCGTGGTCTAGTGGTAGAGTGTCCGCCCGGAGAGCGGAATGTCCGTGGTTCGATCCCCGGCCATATCAGACGTTAAAAGATGGTACTTGTTGTGACCCTGTCTGGCGCTCGGCATTAAGGGGCTAAAACAGGGACTGGGCGGCTCGGAGTCAGTATACTGTGTCCGAGTGGGGTATTCATGTTAAACTGCGGCATGGTATCTCAGTGGGCTAGCACTATAAATCGGCATCAGTAGTACAAGCAGCCACACACACACACACACGTGCATGCAAGTCGCTATATAAGTGCAATAATCTTGGGCGCGACGTTAAACCCAATTTCACCTCACCTCATCTATTAAGGGGGCTATGGGTGGTCCAGTTGTCTAAGGGACAGCAATTCCCCTGTGCAGAGTTGCATCTCTTGGTCTCGCCAGAAACCTATTATTATGGGCTTGAGTCCCAGTTTGTTCCGATTATTATTCTAGGTCTGTCAGCACCATGTTGGTTTCACCAAAGTGGTAAAAGTCTGAGAACTGCATAGCCTGAAATGACACAAAAGAAAAGTCACACACGACAGATATATTTTCCAGAACTTAATTGCCTTTAATTAAGGGTGCAAATAACACACAATTGTGTATTTTACACGAATAAATAAGTGTACATTGATCAATTGGAAGTGGTGCTAATTGGGATTGTTCACTTGCCAATATATAACCAAATATTGCCGTGGGCGCTTATTAGGTCGAATGCGGTAATTTTAAAGATATCCTTCTGAAATCTCGAGAATAATGATAACATTGTTTTGAGCATCAAAGTTACCAGCATCGAAAAGGGAACTATGCAAAAGGAGACTGTTTTTCACATGGTTCTATTTCCCGCCTCAGTGGCGACAGGTATGGTGGATAGAGCAACTGCCGGAGTGCGGAGGGCAAGTGATTTGATTCTCAGCCGAATCATATCAGAATGTTAAAAGTTGGTACTTGTTGTACTCCCTGGCGCTTGGCATCAAGGGGATAAAACAAGAACTGGTAGGCTCGGAGTCAATATTCTGTCCCCTATTGGGGTATCTCAGTGGGCACTATTAAACTGGCATTTGTCCAGACTTGTAGAAGCAGACACTGCAAACTCACTTCGCTATTGAAATGCAATAATCTTGAATGCTATGTTTAAACCCCATTTACCTCATGTATTTTATAGATCGCCTCTGTGGTCTAGTGGTAGAGTGGAAGGTCCGGGGTACAATCCTAGGCCGCGTCATACCAAAAGACGTTAAAAGATGGTACTTGTTGTTACCCTGTCTGGCGCTCGGCATTAAGGGGCTAAAACAAGGACTGGTCGGCTCGGAGTCAGTATACTGTGTCTGAGTGGGGTATTCATGTTAAACTGCGGCATGGTATCTCAGTGAGCTAGCACTATAATTCGGCATCAGTCTGGACTAATACAAGCAGCCACACACACACGTGTATGCACGTCGCTATATAAGTGCAATAATCTTGGACGCGACGTTAAACCCAATTTCATTTCACCTCACGTATTTTATTAATTTGTCAATTAACAATTTCAAGACATGTTGACCGAAATGTATAGACGTAAAAAAAAAAGTGAAACTGATGTATTTTATTAACCGACTATAAAAGTCCAGTTTCTACCCTTGCCGAACTAGGATCGAATATCTGGGTTCGATCTTAGCGTCACTTGTGGCTATTATGAGTTATGTCCCTTCTATGTCCCTCCTACTGACCAATCAGATTCCACCTCTGATATCACTTGCATTTCAAACAACATGCTAGCGCCCAGTGAAGAGCACCTTTATCCAAAACATGAAAAGATTTGAAAAATATCTGTTGACAGTAAACATGCTTTGCAAATCCTGCAGTCAACCCAAATCTGCATAGCATGATCTAGATGTTGATTTCATTACGCGATTTTGATTGGACTGTTTAGTCCTGCCAAAATGTAAGTCCATAACTGCAGTTAACTCCTTTGCCTCTTGAAGATGGATGTGATGAATCGTCAATCTCACTGGTATGTGGCAGAGTTACTGACATTCTTGAGTGAGTGAGTGAGTATGGTTTTACGCCGCTTTTAGCAATATTCCAGCAATATCACGGTGGGGGACACCAGAAATTGGCTTCACACATTGTACCCATGTCGGGAATCGAACCGCTGTCTTCGGCGTGGCGTGCGAACGCTTTAACCACTAGGCTACCCGACCACCCCGACATTCTTGAAGAAAGAACACCAACACAAATGCTCATTACTAGAAAATGTAGTTTATGCATACAAACACTGAAATATGCAAAAGTCAACAACAATGTACAAGTCCACATTAATACAGATCGATGTGAAGGTATGCTGGTTATGAGCAAACACATTCTAATTCCAGTTCGATGGACGCACTCCGATTCACAAACTATTGTTCCAGTAACCCCCTTGTAATGTCAAAAATGACTGCAGAAAATATTCAACAT